AAACCTAGAAAAGCGCAACTAAGATTTCGAACTGTTAAACAATTATTTTGAAAGATGTTAAAGGTGAATGTGATACATAATAAAGTGGGGAATAACGTCCTGGAAACGGTTTTTGACTGCAGTGCAAATTAAAGCAAATTTCATTGTTAAAACGCTTAAAATACGTAGAAATGTTAAACCTAGAAAAGCGCAACTAAGATTTCGAACTGTTAAACAATTATTTTGAAAGATGTTAAAGGTGAATGTGATAGATAATAAAGTGGGGAATAACGTCCTGGAAACGGTTTTTGACTGCAGTGCAAATTAAAGCAAATTTCATTGTTAAAACGCAAAAAATACGTAGAAATGTTAAACATAGAAAAGCGCAAATAAAATTTCGACCTGTTAAACAATTATTTTGAAAGATGTTAAAGATGCATGTAATACCCAAAAGTATAAAAAGTATAAATACATCAGTATTTTGTTAATTTCGGACATCAGCCCCCACGTACTACTAAATAGAGAAACTACCGCATTCTTCAAATTCAAAAAAGTTTAATTTATACAATGGCCACGCATTAATATTGAAAACAAAGCTTTATTTGCACTTTATAGCAAATCCAGGGAACTGTCTTCTCTCGGTCGATCGTTCAGCATACGACTGTTAAAGAGAGCAAGTATTCGGATAATAAATGACAGACGATCACGCTCGAAATTAAGTACACTCATCTTAACGACAAAAGGATCCTTTTTCTATTTAAAAAATATTAAAAGTAGAGCACAACCACTGCAATAATCGTATAGCTTTAAAACAATGAATCAGCTATCAACGTTGATTCGTTAATTTCCGAAATCAGCCCCAAGACACTATTAAATAGAGAAACTAACACATCTCCTGCTAACATAACGTTAATAGTTTATTTAAAATAATGAAAATGCTTTCAACATTAATTTGTTAATTACGGAAATCAGCCGCCTAATAATATTATTTAATATTAAATAGTAGTAGCACATCTCCTAGTAATACAAGGTCAATAAAGTTTATTTCATACAAAAAGGCTATAATTTAAAAGACTACTTTTCACCTGAGGTTATGACTATCGCAGGGTGAATATATTCCGGGAATATAAAAGACAAACTGCACTTGATTTGAGATAGACTATTGATATCGACAAAAAGGGCATAACTCGCTTAAAAAATTTGAAAATAATCTAATACAACTTCAATAATTGAATAGCTTATTTAAAACAGTGAAAGGGGTTTTCAAGTTTGGGTAGTTAGTTTCCGAAATTACAACCACCTCGATAATCGTATAGGTTTAAAATAATGAAGAGCCTTCGACATTAATTCGTTACTTTCGGAAATCAGCCCCCACGTACTACTAAACTATGACACTAACACATTCTCCTTGTAATACAAATTCAAATAAGTTTAATTCATACAAATATCACGCATCAATATTCAAAACGAAGCTTTATTTGCAATTTATAACAAATCCAGGGAACTTTTATCTTCTCTCGGTCAATCGTTCAGCATACGAGTGTTAAAGAGAGCAAGTATTCGGATAATAAATGACAGACGATCACGCTCGAAATTAGGTACACTAATCTTAAAGACAAAAGGATTCCTGTTTTGTTTAAAAAATACTAAAAGTAAAGCTGAACCACTACAATAAACGTAAAGCTTTAAAACAATGAATCGACGTTCAACTTTGATTTGTTAATTTCTGAAATCAGTCTCAAGACACTATTAAATAGAGAAACTAACACATCTTTTACTAATGCAACGTTAACAGAGTTTATTCAAAATAATGAAAATGCTTTCAACATTAATTTCTTAATTTCTTTCTCCTTATAATACAAGTTCAAAAAAATTTATTTCATAGAAAAGTGCATTAATCTTCAAGACATATTTTTAACTGCTGTTTAGGACTATTGAAAGAGTAAGTATTAGGAGAAAATAAGAAACGAATTACCCTTGATTTGAGTTACACTGTTCACAAAAAAAAATTATCATATTTAAAAGTATTCAAAATAGGCCACAATCACCTCTATAATAGTTAAGCTTTAAAACAATGAAAGAGCTTTTAACCCTGGGATTACAGACCACAGATTACAGAATGGTGAAGCTAACACATTGTCCTTCTCATACAAGTTCAAAAAAGTTCAATTTTAACAAAGATTACGCATTAATATTCAAAGTATGTTTTTAATTGCTATTTATAATAAAGCCAGGGAAATGTCTCGTTCTCTCGCTCGACAGTTCAAGTATACGATTGTTAAAGAGAGCAAGTANAACTGAAACTGAGAAAATAAAAGAGAAAAAGGACAAACTAATAAGTATAAATAAAATATTCAAAATTTGT